AATAAATAAATCTTCAACATCTTTTAAATTCAGCAGATGTGAAAAGGTTAAACCAGATGATATAATATAGGTAAGCAGACCTTTTCAACAGCAGTCGTTTTGACATGAAATAATAGGGTAAACAGTTTGGTATGAATGATACTAAGCTTCAAATCGTGTCAAAATGGCTGCTGTGAAAAAGGCTCTTTTTGTAGTGTTTTCTTTTATCTAAATTCATCCTGCAGCAAAAGGTTTTTGCAAGTGTGGAAAGTCAATTTTTTTGTGATTTCTATTCTGATTAATTCGATATTATGTCCCATATTATGCAGATATGCAATATGTGAAACTGTCCCCTGCTGGATCTCTCTAGCTTCCTTTTAAAGTCCAGTGTGTAACATTGAGGAAGATCTATTGGCACAAATGGAATATAATGTTCATAGGTATGTTTTAGGGGAATCATTATGTTTTTGTTACCTTAAGAATGAGCTGTTTAAATCTACAGGCGCCACAGGTTGCATCCAAGGAGTCCACCATGCTGAACCACAATGTGTCTACAGTAGCCCAAAATGGACAAACCAAACACTGGTTCTAGATAGGAGCGTTCGCAGCCACTGTAGTTTGTCCTACACACTTGGAAGGTGAGAGATGCAACCATACTGCTAGATGCCACTAAATCCTACACACACTGGTCCTTTAAAGTAACACTGAAGAGCCAATGACACACATGAAAGCTTGAGTAGGGCTTTTATTGCTCACTTTTATATCACACACAAGAACAGTCAACATGTCTCATTTGGCCACAGTTTCCCTGAAGGTATGACAGGTTTGTTTTATGAGCTTTAGTTTTGGGTTTTATTGCCTAAAGCTCAGTTGAGTTGCACAGCCCTGTAGCACGAACGTCTGAAGAGAACCACTCCAAAAAGACAGGTTTTCATAAAATAAAAAAGATGTGCTAAGACACAATTAATGACATAATGTTGAAACTTGTTTATGAAAAATCATTCCAACCAATTTCATTTGAATCTCAAGTGTATTTTTCTTCTAAAAATGGATAATGTATTCGGGCTGGTATATAGAACTTTTTCAAATTCAATTTCAACTTAAAGCAATACCTTTTGTTAGTATTAAACATTATGCTCAAAAAAAGGTATTTTTAAAAGACAATTTGACTGGATTTAATCAATATACCACATGAATCAGCACAACTGTATATGACCCAGCTCAGGTCAGTCTTTTGGAATGAAACTCTTCATTTCACACTGTGAAACAGCAGCAATGATCAAACACTTTAATACCTTCTTTTTATTTTGGTTCACCTGTAACATACCACCATTGACCTGAGCAAGGGGAAACAGCGGAAAGCAACAAACAGCCTTTTACTTGGCTTTGGTCCCTGAAGAGGTGGCACTTAAATGTAGCACAAATTAAACTGTATTAAAGCACATTAGCGATAAAGGTGGGAATAAACTGTGATAAACATTGACAGTGTTGATACTTTACATATTTTTACCATTGGATAAGATAGCTGGTTTTGAGGCCATTTTAGCCAAAGCAACAAACAAAAACAATTTTATCTTTCAAGACAAAACCCACACATGAATTAATACGGGTGTGTTCAGACTTATTGGCAAGCAAATGGGCAGCACGACTGCATAACTGAACAAGAGAACAGAAGCAAGGCCACTGTGGAATACCTACTGACCACGGTGCAATACAAGAATATCACCCCTGTTCAGTTCCTATGAAACAAAGCATTGTGGGATAGCTGTGCAGTTTTGTACAACCGTGCTGTCATTACAGGTACAAACAAAATTGAAGTGCTGCTTCGCTGTGACGTACATTTCTGAATAAAGTCACAGGATACCACGGTGGCCATTTTGACAGGAGGACAAACACAGGTGTAAAAAAAATAATAATGACAACCGAATGCTAGGGTTGAGTGAGTGTTCGGCTGAAATGAGTATCCGGTATAGATAGAACTTTAAATAACTTTAAACTGTCATGGCTAACTGTAAATAGTTCTCTAATTAACACACACACTTCTGATCAACCCATATCAATTTCAGGCTTAAATTGACTTCCTGTTAGCCACACACATGTCCAGTTAAAGCCCCGCTCTTTCCGAGTACAGATACAAATACAGAAAATGTAGCTGGTTGATCAGAGACATACAGATAATGGTGTACTCGTTTGTCCATACAGAATATCATTGCATCGCTTTGGTTTTAGGGTGCTGGTGTTCACTTTTACACCGTCATGGCTAACCTTGACACCTGACTAGAACAAAGCCATCGTTAACGTTGCTAGTAACACCTGTGCCTGCTCTGTGGAAACAGCCTATACACAATGCTTGCTAACGAGCAAGCCTATTGTAACACTTCATTGCACGTCTGGTGCGTACGTTGCTAGCTAACAAACAATTACGGCTAACATTTGCCTTGGTGAAGAAACACTCAAATCCACATGAATAAAGCAAGTAAATGTGCTTGGTTCATATTTAGTCTGAACACTGTCAAGTAACATTTGTGGAGAAATATAAACAGGACAAAACATTAGCACAGTTAGCAATGCGCACATCCCCTTATTCAGCAACACTGACATCGACTACAATCTCTTCTTGCGGTTAAACATTGTGTACAATTAGAAAAATAGCTCTTTAACATGTTCATGATAATAGAAAAATATTTGTTGCCCTCATACAGTAATTAAATATCCACAGGAATGTTAACACGACACCTTCAAAGGTTTAGTTAAATTGTTGTGTCTAAACCCTGCGGCAAACAGTAGCACACAGTGCCAGCCAGGCCAGCAGGGGGAGAGAGCCTCAGTTATCGTCTCACTTACTCAGCCGTCCCATCATAGCACAAAGCCATTAGACTGTCAGAGAAAAATAATTCAGCTGACAGACTTTTTATCCATGTGATGGGACAAACAGGAATTGTAGAGTATTGTTCATGAGACGACACCTTTCAGATTATAGTACAGCCCTTGAGAAGAAAGTTTTCCAAGTAAGAGAGCTTCGAGAGGAATACAGATGAAATATTTTGGTTGTGGTTTTCGAATTAAAGGGAAAGGCGTCTGTTTGAGAGGCAGTTTTGTTTTGAAAGCTCTTTAAAACTTCCTGTCTTTTCACTGCACTCCCACTCACAGTCCACTGTTGTGTAGTGAGTCCGATTTTGAGTATGATGCGAACAATCTTCAATCTGTCTCATGACGAAGGAGAACACATCGACTTTAACCGCAGCATCATTTTAACACATTTAAACCACAGTTATTTTCAGTGTGTGCTTTTCACCATGGTTGGGCTGACTTAAACCTCTACCCTGTCTGAGGTTTCCTATTTTTTGGGCTACACAATACCATGTTTTCAGTTCACTGACAATATAAACAATAACAATAACTGTTTCCAAAAAGTGCATTGAGACTTTTCTCTTTCCTGCACTTGGAGAAAAATAAACCCCCCCCTCATTTAAATAAAGGCTAAGTACCAAAGGTGACAAAGTTTGCCACAAATACTCAAAATATTCAACTCGAAATATTTTTTGTTTAAATATTTTCATATAAAACATCATGATGATGATCTTGTTCAAAAGGTTTATAGGATACAATTTGTATCAACAAAGAGAGGTGTCAACTGACTACTAGATATTGTTATATTATTACCAGGCAAGAGTCTGAGCTTTACAAACAGTTCCTCAGATGTTAAAATAATCCCATTGGTGAGATAAAACAAGAATATTATTATTTCCTATACCAGATGCAGTTTAAAGTGCTTTACATTAAGAGAAGACAAAATACTTCAAAAGAGAAAGCAGACAAAAATAGAAAAGATGAGTATTTTGGAAAAAATACTGATATTATTACTTTAGGTCGATGGGTGTTTGTTTAAGGAATTATGAGATTTAACATATTTAATTATGATAGCAGATTAATTCAACTGAAAATTGTTGAAAACTGAAAACTTAATCTAGACTTTCAAGATTAAAGTAGTTATATCATCTTATTGCTGTCTAACGAATGTTATTAGTTTAAGTCACAAATAAATTAATGTCATTACCACTTAAATGTTTTTTATTTAAAAATTAATTTAACCAATGAGATTATTAGTGCATCTGAGAAATGTCTGTAGAACCAGAATCTATAGATGTTCCGACTGTTGCCAGTGTGCTCCTGTCTACTGCAAAAGCACGATCTCTGTGTATTTAACAGAAGGGTACAAACGAGTTATACCCTGTTTGAGGTGCCTAAACACTCCTAGTGGTGTCACCACTGACAAAGGAGACCCTGTGTCTCATGCACCACAGATATTCACACATAAAAAAGTAATAAATTAACACATATTTTAAATTAAAATTAAAATAATACCAACAATTCTCATTCCACCTAAACATTTCTGGTGACCATGCTCTCAACAGCCACCATGATATGATTTAGAATTTTGATATGGGTTAAAGAGGATAGAGGATAGAGGATAAAGGATAGAGGCTGTGTTTCTGTACTGAAAGCTGATGAACCGTAAAGTCAGCTGACAGGGCTATCCTAACAGAGGAAATACACTCTAAAGTGAACAACAGCTTGGGGGTTTTCGAATGGAGTTTTTTCAATCTTCTTTTGCGGGTGCCGACTGAGTTTCACTTCCCTGTGGGGGAAATCCACAAAATCTCACCACAGCATCTCATCCACCACCTGTGAGTATAGAAAGATCTGTTTGTTGAGCTAATTTGAGCATTAAATACAGTAGGAATGTATTTGCAATGTGGCAGTGAAATTTTACAATTAACTATATTATTTTACACAGCACACGTTGTCATGTCAGTTACTGGAAAATAGAGGCATTTCACTCAGATGGAAAGTACAAATTTGAGCTACATATACCCTGATATGATTGAAAAAAAAAGCTGAGAAGGAAACACAACAATAACAAAAAAAAGTGCCAAAAACAGAATCATTTTAAAATATGTAAATAACTTAAAATTTAACAAATAAATTAATTTCAAATGAACACTGTCACCCTTAAAACACATTAAAAGCCTCCCTAAGCATGCCAGTGTCTTGACTCACAACCAATAGCTCAAACATGCACATTAAACCCCAAGCTTTCCTGATCTTAAGTGCTGAAATAGCAGCCATGTGTATAGGAAAATATGGCAATTTGGGGGTTTCCCTTTACAAAAACAAAAATTAAAATGAATGAGACAACTTCCCTGCAATTAAGATAAGCAGTCCATTAACAGGTTAAGGAGCTTTTACATCTTGTGCTTTTGGTTAGTGTATGTCCAACCTGACTTTCTTAATTAAGATGAAGCTGTAACTTTAACGCCAGGTTTCATTCAAGAACCGTGCTGCGATTTCTCCATCAGAATCGCAGCTGCAAGCTCCTGAGCATCCATCACATGAGGGTTCCTGGTCATCACCATCCTCACCAAATCTGGAGGGAAGATGCGGCACAAGTTAACAAACACCCTCTCTCTGAGGTCCTGGTAGCGATCCAAGGCAGGTGGCTCCTGGTGCTGGGACACCGAGGGCAGGTGGCTTTTGTGGGTAGTGATGGATGGAAGGGACAGCTGAGGGAGTGGCGGAAGACTTGATGCTGAAAGGCCACGGGGTGATGAATGGACTTGCCTGCCCCAAGGAGAGTGCCAAGCCTTCTCATGGACTTCTGGAAGGCTCTGGAAGGCAAACAGGTCATAGCAAGGCTTAGGAGATTGCTGGTAATGGGGGTCCCAGTTTATCTGATGCTGTGGTTGTTGATTTAGCCCAGAGTGGTTTCTTCTGAAATTAAGAGGTGACCCTTTGTACACTTGGGGGTCCTGGAGCCCACCTTCCTGCCAAAGGGAGCCCATCACACTGCGGCCGAGGGGGGAGCTCTGAGAGTGGGAGTGAGAGGTGGATGCTTGGGGTGGACGTGGTGGACGAGTTTGGAATTCCCCTGGGAAATTGCTCAGCACTGGATGCTGAGGGTGCGGTGGGATGTAGGCTGAAGGTGGCTTGAAGGGACGTGGAGATACATGAGAGGCAACAGAAGACGGAGGGTCTTCCAAGCCAAAACCATGCTGTCTCTGCAGGGCTTGAGGAATGGAATAGCCATGAGGAGTATGCTGGCCCAGACCGGGAGGGGCATGGCTCGCAGAGTGAGCGTACTGGCCAGAGCAGTGGTGATGGTGGCGAGGATGGTGGTGGTGATGGTGGCACTTGGGGCCATCGTCCAACAAGGGGTCAGGGGAGAAAGAGTCTGAGCTGACACTGCCTTCACTGCTGCAGTCTGACGGCAGTGATCCAGCTCGCAGATCAGCTGGGAAGAAGCATTCAGGACTCTGTGGCACTACCAGACTGAGGCTAGAGTAGGCCTTTACCATGGAGCTGTAGCCCAGGTCTGGAGACTCGCATCTATGGTAAGTTTCAGCCTGGCTTGGTCCTGAGGCTCCAGCAACCCTGGAGCTGCCTCCACCAATTCCCCCAGGAGGCTCCCATCGGTCCAGACTTCCTGATGAAGGGGGCCCCCCAGGACCATGATACCCTAGAAAGCTACTGCTACAGCTACTGCTGCTGCTGCTGTTGCTTCCTCTACGTCCCTCCACTTTGGACTGGACCCGTAACCTGTCCTCCAGGAGGTCGTTGAAGGAGCTCCGAGGAGTGGGGTTTGGCTGTTTCTTTGGAGTGCTCCAGATTTGCTCGGCCTCAGCCATTCCTTCTGCTTGACCAGAACTTTGGCTCTTCGCCATCAGGGCATCTTCCAGCAGGCCTCTGGAAGCTACTGATGAAATTTTGGCACTGGCACGGAGCTCATCAGCAACGGCACGCTGTGGCTGGCTACCCCGTTCAGGGTGGTAAAACTTGCACTTGTGTCCATATGTGCACTTCTTCCCTAAATTAAGAAAAAAACAAAGCATTTCCCATCAATTTGCTGGAATGAAAACCATCCTCTCTAGCATAAAAACAAAATAGCTAAGGGATTTTTGTTCTTATTTAGACAGAAAGATGTGTTTTTAAATATTACTGCTCTCTCATAGACGTGTTTTTAAGTGCATAGTTTTTTACCATAAGGACATGGCTGCTTCCTGTGTTCAGGAATAATAGGTCTCTTCCTCAGGAAGTTCTCCAGACTGGGTCCGTGGCGTCCCAGTGGGTCATCTGGTGGCATGAACCTAAATCCACAGTTAATAGATTGAAATATTTATTAAATCCAAATTTTACAAAAGAAACTTATTGAACTTGAAATTTTCTATTTTCATCCTGTTTCACTGAGGGTTCAGTAACTCTGACAGCACAAATAGGGACTTCATCAGGGAATGTCTGCAGTGACTCACAGCAGAAGTTTATATAGAAACTCTACAGTTTGTATAAAGAAATTGTAGAGTTTCCTTACCATTAACATTTTAGGCGTATGGCACAGCAAAAGCAGCTTAAACTCACATCAGCAATATTACAATTAACAAACCAATAGGTCAATAACCAATAAGAAGAACAAAGGCTGTGACAATAGATCACTTAAGGAATACGGGACACAACCCAAAATCAGTGGAGTAGAAGTAGAGGGGTAATAAAGATCTAAAGAAGGGCAATGAGGAACTGAAAGTGTCTGGAGGAAATCCTCAGTTAATATTCCTGCAAAAATACATTATGTAAATTTTACTGGCTTGGTTTGAACATCTTTTACAAGTGTTTTTAGCAGTTGGGACACAAACTGGATGTTGTAGACAAAAGAAATAGTTCTTGGACAGAAGGTAAAGCTGGTCTATTATGTATGTTCCTATACCTCTAAAGGAATGCCACATATGTGTTTTTTATTATTTTCTAATGTGAAATATGTTGGGGAAATGCAATTTAAGGATTTGTCAATTTTCTGTAATAGAATTTCTAACAGAATTTTTCTCTTGTCTTCACACACACAACATAATTCATTCTCCTTTGGCATGGATTGCTTACTTGTCGTTTACAAAGGAGTACATCAGTAGACGCTCATCAATGAATTTCTTCCACTCTGGCTTCTCATTGGCTAGGTCACGGTAATTGTCGTTGGAAACAATGATGCCGTCTGACTCATAGGCCAGTTTGACGATGAAGCGGTCATCATAGCAAACCACACGGCGTCCCTGTACACGACGAGATGGAGTAAAGACCAGGATCTTGTCTTTCTCTAGTCGCCGTAAAATCTCCTGGTCTGAAGAAAGAGAGGGGTTACACATAAAAAAGATAAAGTTATAAATGTCCCCTTTGGTATTGAATAACTTACGAAATCCCTCCCAAATAAGAGGTCACAATATCATTTCATTGTAACTTTAACTTATCACTAAAAGCTACAGCAGCTGTTACCTGTGATGAGAGCATCAGGTCGTGACTGCTCCTTTCTCCAGGCAGGGACAAAAACAGTGATGTCACGATGACCTTGCTCCAAGAACCAATCAACAGCCAGCTGGATGCCTTGACAGGAGAACACTTCCTTATTTCCATGACTGCAAGAGGAGAAAGACAATGTTAAAGGCAGAATCAGAGATGTAAATGCAAACAAAATGGTTGCCCCACCACCACAGTTTAAAATAGGGGATTGAAAACTCATAGAATTATTTTATTTGCATAAACTGAATCAGATCCATTAGAGATCAGAGCTATTGGAGATGAAGCTGTCTATGAAGAGCATCATAATACTGACAATCAGCCAGAGGAGTAGACAGATCATACAGAACAAAAAGGGGATATGTTTAATGGGGCTAGAATCATGCCTATTATGCTTTAGTGAAGGAATCTACTCTGTTGCTCCTGCTGAAAGAAACAAACCAGCCAGCTTTTTTAAAACACCTCAGCTTAAGGCTATGGCTTGCCCTGTTCAATCCCCCATCAGATGAAACGAGATGTATTAAATTAACACCAAGTATTTTAAAACAATGCTTTTCTGTATTGTAAACAATTTTTCTTTTAGCCGTTGCACAGGTCATCACTCAGATACACTTGGCTGCTTTAAGCATGACAACACAGTTACAAACAGAAAAGCCTTTCACTAGATATGGACCTAAAATAAAAGGAATGTTGCAAGTGAAACAGTAAGGTTGAGAAGCTGGTGCGAAATAAAGACAGATCTCTTTGCTATGATCAGACGGTTGGCAACTCCAGTCTTTGATGGTAGTTTCTGGCAGCTGAAATGAAATTTGGATTAAAGTGATTGAGGCAATTAACTGACAAGGTGAAGAGGTTCATTTTGAGGAGCTCAACATCCAGCAATGCATGTTTGATAAACATGTCGAGGCATTATTCAGAGAATTGTTTCCTATTTAGTGGCTGGAATTTCAGCACAGAGGAAGCCCACATATACACTGCCAGATGGGTCAATGGAACACTTGAGGAACACTATGTGTCTGAATACATCACAGCTCAACTACCTGACCCACATACACAACCTGAACTATACAAGAAAGTCACAGAACTGGTTGCAGATTTGGATTTCCCAGTGATGAAATGAGGGAAATCATGCAGGCAAACTCAAAAAAGAGTGGTCAGTGCTCAGGAGTGCATGAGGAAGTGTTGATGCATTTTCTCGCACTTGGAGAACACAACTTTAGAAAGCACTACTTGTTTGTTTGCACCAGGTGGACCTGACAAGCTAGAGTACATACAGAGAGCAGAATCTGAAACAGAAAGGAGTGGTATGCAGCCAGGGAAGTCCCAGGGACTGCAGTGATTGCAGCTGTATACAGATCTCCTTTTGGACTGTCTTTTAGAGAAATGACATAATCCATTTTCATCTCTTTCAGGAAGTTGCACCTCTTACATGTAATGTAATTTAGCTGCAAGAATAACATAAAGTTCAGCACAAATGTCTAGAAGTCCATGATGAAGAATTGAACCTGAGATAAACGTGGCGCTCCCATATGACCTTTGCCCAGTCCTCACACAATTAAGGTTTGGACTGAACTTAATTTCGATATATCACTATGGCAACCTATTCAGCGTGGCTAACCTGATCTGGAGACTCAGGCAGACAATAATGACACTTTAAATCTCCCTTAAATTATGCAGACACAAAAATATCAGTAATCCACAAGTACTTCAAGATCAGGTAACCCAAATAGAGCTAGAGTCATGCCATTGTTCTGACAGCCCATTATTATGAAACCTCAATTGTCTGAAAAATGTCCTATCAGACCAAAAGCCCATTTGTCATACATCCTGTTATCCCAACAACAAACACCCATTGGTCCGAAGGCCTGTCCCCAGCCTGGTATAACTTATGTAGCGTATTCAACTTAGATCATGTAAGTAACCTGACGTGACTTTACTTACTTTAACCCACTGCAATTGTTTAACAATCACTATATGTTTATTATTGTTGTCGTGACGATGACAGTCACCTGACTATTCTTACTATAACATCATCTGACGTTTGCATGTCAAAATACACTAAGACACATACACAAAACAACTCCAGGGAGAGTGTGTATTTTTACATATCAAGCTGTTGGACAAATGGGCTTTCTGTCCAATGGGACATTTTTCAGACTATTATATTGGGATTTTTGAATAATGGTCTGTCAGAACAATGGGCAGTCCCCAGAGACCTACAGTCTGCATGGTACAGCCTTGGATCATTGGTTTAATGCATTAAACCAGTTTATACTTTAAAACTGTGATTAGAGAGTTTTATACAATGCCAGTGGGTGTGATCTATCTTTCCTCATTGTGTGTACAGGTACATACCTTGGAGACACTTTAATTAAAGTTCAGAGAGTAAATATTTTATAGTATGTCATATGCTCATATGGTTTCTATCTTTTAACAACAGTAGCTTAGCTGCTAACAACAGCCAGATAATAGCCACTGTTCCATTACTCTACAACATAGGATTTGTTTTTTTTGTTGGCTGAAGTGTCAGTGCCTTAATCATATAAAATGAAGCTACATTTATGAGCAAGTAAAAAGGCAGAAGAGCATAAACCTGCTGTTTCTGAAAGCTTCTCATCCTTACCTCATGGCTACGTTGCTCCCATCCACCACAACAGGCCGAAGGTTTTCTTTGTCCTCCAGCAGCTGGGACGGACACAGGAGCCGACAGGAGTCCAGAGAGGAGTTGGAAGATGAGGATGAGGACGAGCAGGCCAAAGAGGATGACAAAGAGGAGGAGGGAAAGTGGGAGACAGTCAAATCTCCTTGCTGCTCCATCTCTGTCTTGGTTCCCAGTTTGACCAGCTCACCTAGGATATCGTTGATGAGTGCATCTGGGCCCAGTTTCCTCAACACTAGCAGCACCAGCTCCTCAGAGTAACCCAGTTTGAGAGCAAACTCCACCTTGGTGCGGTAGTCGGTGACGGGGTCAGATGTTTCTGGCTTGACTGTCTGACAGACTGAGGAAGACTCTTGGTGGTGATCATGCTGAGGGTTTTGAGATTTAGAACCAGACCCATTATGGAGCCGTTCATCATCACTGTCTGAGACAGCACTCTCCTCAGAGAAGTTACTGCAACTACTACTGCTGCTGTAGCTTGAATGAGTATTAAAACTAGTGCCACTACTACCAATATTATTGCTGCTATTACTCGGGGTACCAGCTCTGACCTGTAAGACCCCTATATTCCCAGCACCCGTCACAGTGCTCAAGCAAGCCTGCCGCTCAGCACCTTCCACATGGAGGTAGTCCAGATCCAGCCCCAGACTGAGGATGTGGCCTGTTCCATCCTGCAGATGGTCCTTCACGCCCATGAAGCCGTCTCATACATCCAGCTCCGTGCCCTCCGTGACCTCCCGGGCACCTGACAGACCCCACTGTTACTGCTGATAGTTAACAGCTCACTGACTGCTCCTGGGAGTGAAGCTTGAGGAAGACATAAGAATCGACCGGTTAAATTGAGGATTGCATGAGAGTGATAGTATGCAGATTGTTCTGAGTCTAAAATATGAAGGAATGAGTCAGTTCTAGAAGGTCTATTAATTTAGATACAGACACAGATCAATTAATGATTTTCATTATATATTAAAAACTACTTTATGGCCCCATGTGATCTATATCTGGATATCTTACCCGAAAAAACAAATTCATTTAAGGTATACATTTATATATATTTATATAAATCTAAATCTTAAGGTGGTATGGCTCACAGTGTGATCAGATCTCAGCCAGGTGTGAAAGCATTCACAACAGTTTGGCCACATCTAGAAACCTAGAGGCAACCTCTTCACCAGTGAAGGAAAAGTAAGTAGAGACCTACTAACATCACTTCCTTTGACCTAGGATGTGCTATAAAAAGTCTGAAAGCTCCCACCGACCTAATTCACATATTGGGATTAGAACTTCAACAATTACTCAAATAACGTTGTCAACAATAGTTGTCAACTATTTAATTAATCACCAACTATTATTTTTATTCATTTTTCAAGAAAAAATGTCCAAAGCCTCTGATTTCATTTTCTCAAATGTAAATATTTTACAGTTTCTTTAGTCCTCTCTGACAGTCAACTGAATGTCTTTGGGTTGTGGACAAAAGACATTTGAGGATGTCACCTTGGGCGTATGGAGACATTTAATAGACCGAACAACAAATTCATCAATAATGAAAATAATTATTAGTTGCAGCCCTCAATGAGATCTCAACACAGAACTGAGGAATGCTTATTAATACCAGGTCTTAAATGCAAGGTCTCATGATGACGCTAAAACTAAACTTTGGCAGGAGTAACGCTCTAATAACTTTAATGGAACGCAACAGGCTTATAAGGTGAAGTTAAAAACTGTAACCTCCCTGACCTGCCCTTCCATTTGCATTTTAGCAGTGAGAAATACTGTTTAAATGTCAAAGAAACATCAATTACGCTAGAGGCAAATACCAGACATCTGAGCTGAGAATAAAGTTCAATTGATGCCAAACCACTTAACCGACACGTACATGATAACTGTACACCACGGCCAAGAATCACACCTTTTAACATGCAGGATCAGCCAAGGAATAACACAGCTGCCAAGAATATTATCTCCACACAGGGCTGGGTGATCTTGACAAAATCTTTTTATTTTTCTCAGAAATAAGGATAATTTATGATTGTAAGTTCTTAATTTCTTTCTTCACAAACAAAATAAACAACAAAATTCTAACATACACTGGTATTTTATTTATACACAATTTGCTTTGTATTCTTTAAATAGACAGACACGAAGAGCTGTGTGAGAATTACACAACATCATCATCATATGCAAAGCTGTCATTACTGACATCTTTGTAGCTTTGTAGCTTGTCTGACTTGAGATTGACACGCAGACTCACTGCAAGAATTTACATTCAAGGATGGTCCTGGCGTTTTGTTGCTCATTTTAAATATGGTTGAAGAGAAGGTCATAGCAGAATTTGAGGATATAGTTACTCTTGTAATTGTAACTGACAGAGTGCTTTAAAGTTATAGTAATTCAGTTGCGTATTTTAAAGTGCTATTTTTAAAGTTCAAACTTGAAACTTTTCCCTTTAAACCTGCATTCTATTCACACTGGGTAAGAGCCATCTGACCACTGCGCACATGACTTGTAACAAACTAAGGCCCTGTCCACACGAATACGCGGCCTCACCCAATACGATGCTTTGTTTCCGAAAAATGATTCTCGTAAAACAACGCGCGTCGTTTCCAGAAGTATCTGCGTACCAGCCACGGATTTCCTCGGAAACGACCAAAACGCTGTTAGGTACATATTGCCAGGCCTGTTGTGGCACTGGTGACGGGCGCACAGCCAATACACTAAAACTGTAAAATATATACTTATGACAAAAACGTACTCGTGTGGACGGCCCTAAAACTTGCAACAACAAAAAAACAAATGGCCTGGTCCTTTAAAATTTTACTAAGGGATCATTATTGTAGTTTGTTTATTTAATTTTTACAGCATTTAAAGTTGTGCCATACAAATTCACATTCTCAAAATAAAATTCATATTGAAATCATGAAATTCAATGAAATTCTTCCAAAGATCAAAACATAAGTAAATAAGCACCTAACACTGTTGTCCTGGCTGGCAGGATTTATGAGCCCTTCATACCCCTATGGTAGAAAAAAACCTCTAACAGTCCTCAAAGCCTCTTTTTCTTCTGTGGGGGTCCATGCATTGGTTGAAACAAAGAAGGATCTGTTGTGATGTGGCATTTCTTAGTGACCCCTTTAAAACAACGTGTGTTCCTTTGCTCCCACATCTCTACTGTATCAAGGACACACGTACATTAAAACACACACATAAGTGCATAATAACTAGGCCTATACTTTATTATTTTTACTGTATTATTCTTTATTTTTGGCTCTAGTTCAGCCTTTGTCTTTGTTTGATGCATGAGAGAAACCTCAGCACAACATCAGAGCTTTTGTTCATTGTGTTGCAGATTATCAAAAATGTGAACAATGGGAAGGTCATTCTTCCAGTTGCATCTACTTGCCTTTTTGTTCAGTGCAAAAACACATTCTTCAACATGGGTTGTGCACAAAGGAATTGAGAGTGAAAGATGAGTGAACTGAATTCAACACAGCACCTGTGATCACTGGTATGATGTGGACAGAGCTTGGGTTGCTTCACACCACAAACAAACAGTGTCAGTGTATTTGTGTGTAGGGTTGTTTATCTGTGGAAATACCCATGAAGGGTACTTCCAAAGTATCAAACTGCTCCCAGGTTGGTCAAAAAATGAATGAAAAGTTATTTACAGCTTTGGTCCGTTTCTTTAATCTTTCAAAACCTTTCAATGGAAGCATTATCCTGTATGGTGTCTGTCAAATAAAAACATCTCATTCTCTATTACGCTGCTCTGGACAAAGTGCATCTTAGATTTGGTTTCACTGCTGTCTGCATAGTAAACCGTCCCAACATTTGCCGAAACCTAACTTTAATCTGACGCAGCAGTGTAAAGCCTCCAAAAAGACAAAACAAAAACATATAAATGAAACAGCATATATATATTGGTAGAAATGGAATATAATATCCATAGGTATGTCTTCATTAGTGTATTATCACCTCAAAATAAGAATCTTTGTGTTTTTGTTACAACAGATTCCGCACCATGGAAGGCCAAACCAAACAATGGCTCTATTTAGGGCCTTTTTGTATTTTTTACGAGCTTCGTCGCCACCATAGTTTTGGATTAAAACACGTGTAGGAGAATTTTTTCCAAAATATTGAGAGTTGCTAGTTCTCTCAATGCACTCTTTACTTGATGCATGAAGTGAAGAGACTTGATTCACCACACCAGGTCTGTAATTTCTTCAGATAACTAGAAACTATTTTGGAAGCATTTCTCCTACACACACCAATGAATATTATATCTGATCAAGGTTGTAGCAGTGAAACCCCTGAGTTTCATGAATTTAGCAAGGGTGTTTTTATATTGCTTAAGACGTTTGTCTTGCTCCTTTTTTAAAATGTATATAGTCTTTCTTTTAATTAAGAATAACATAGGGTGTGAACATGAAATGGCTTTGAATAAGTTCATTTTATTTCAGCATTTAAAAAGGATTCTCTGCATACTACTTTTTGTCAGCCATTACCAAATGACTTTAAAGAGTTCATTTCAGACATTTTTGCCCTGTATGACTTGTATGCATGCGTATGTGTGTGTTATATTTTAGCAACACTTGTAATGCGGAGTCTCTTGGATCTCAGGCTAAAGCACCGGAAAGCAGGGGCCTCTTAATGTCCCGACCCCGACGTCTAAGCTGCTGCGCCACTGTTTGTCACCCTGAATGCCACAAGAGAGCTGGAATAATTTAGTC